GCAACTTAATTAAGAAAATAAATACCACATTCACTGCAAAATTTCTCTGGTGCTTTGGAGTCAGAGCACATTAATGTAACGATACACTGACATATTTATATTTGGTGATATTCAGGTTGATTTCATGAAAGGTCAACTGTATTTGTTATAGAGGAGCTACTAAGATTGGAAAAGGAAGGAATATATTGTTAAAATACTTTCCTTAACAAGACAACATGAACTTTGTGGGAAGAACTTTGGTGTCTAAGTTGGAAGACTGCATCTTAACTCTGCATATGGGGCCTGACTTTGGGAAAGTTATTTTTTCTTTCTGACTTGTTGAATTTATTTTTGTAAACATCTTTCAGGGTGTTTCCTTATCTATAAAATGGAAATATCACTAACCTTAGAGTGGTTGTGAGGATCAAGTCAAATAGTATTTGTACAGCTGTCTGGTGTGTCATAGGACCTTAGTATTAAGAAGAGCAATAGAGATTAAAACAGCCAAATGTTATCCAAAGAAATACATTGGTCAGAAACCCCATTTCCTATGCATTTGGCTTAAGTTGAAGTTTCAACGCTTTTGTTGAACAAGAAATGGTGAAATAAATAAACCCATAGTTTTGGATATTACTGAATGTTTGTTTAGCATGTACACCTTATGGGAAGGCTATATTTAAAGTCATTGTCACGACTCATTTCTTCCTTCCAAATTGTGTTTGATACAGAATTATGTCAGGAGAGCCCTGGAAGATCCCACATTCTGTTTACCAGGATGCTTTGGGCTTGGGTCTTAGTCTGTATTGAGGTAAGAGGAGACTCATTGCTCTCATTTTGGCCGAGGAGGCCCTGTGTGCTGACAGCTCCTTATTTCATAGTCAAAGAACAGTCTGTGTTTGCATATTATATTGTATAGGCTGAGCCTCTCCAAAGATTACTTGGTTTAAAGGAGAGAGAGAGATCAGCCTTTGTCTCTTCATTTGTAGAGGTAATATGTATTTCATAAGTTTAAGTGAGATAAAAAGTAAGTATGTCTGACAAATGGTAGGAGCTCAATAAGTAGTAGCTATAATGACCTAAAATCATTGTGTGATGTTAGCATCAGTTCTTCTTTTGCTAGAAATACAGAACTGTTTTGCTCATTCTTAGATCCCCTGTGATCAATGCCCAATACATACTGGGCACGCAAGAAGGACAAGTCTTCGTTTTTGAATTTTAAAGTATTTTTTTTCACATCTTGAATTTATTTAATTCTTTGAGTTTTTAAATTGTGTTATAATTTCTATAAAGTATACAATTATATAACCTTTCCAAAGATGTCAATAAAGGTGAAACAGAGACATGCCACAGATGATACAAGTGGCAAGGTGGCAGATTTAAATCTAACCATCTTAATAAATGCACTAGCTGGAAATGGTTGATACCATTCCATTTAAAAGACAAATAATCCTAGCTACTCAGGAGGCAGAGATTGGGAGGATTGCGGTTCAAGACCAGCTCAGGCAAACCGTTCGTGAGACTCTATCTCAAAAAAATCCATCACAAAAAAGGGCTAGTGGAGTGGCTCAAGGAATAGGCCCTGATTTTAAAATACAATACATATATACATAAATAAATAAAAACAATAAATAAATAAATAAAATAAAGGCAAATAGTGCCAATATACTGTTTGCAATAGATACACTTTAAACATGAGAACAGAGATAAATTGAAGCAAAAGGATAACAAAAGATACAGCATGTAACACTAATCATAAGAAGACCAGTGTGGTTATAAGAAAAAGTAGTGTTCGAACAAGGAGCATTGCAGAGATAAATGATTCATAAAGATAAAAAACTAATCTATCAAGAAGCTATAACAATTCTAAACATTACTATATGTGCATGCATGCAGTAACAATGCTTCAAAAAACACTAATCAGCCAGGTACTGGTAGCTAACACCTGAATCCTAGCTACTCAGGAGGCATAGATTAGGAGCATCATGGTTCAAAGCCAGCCCAGGCTAATAGTTCTTGAGACCCTATCTCGAAAAAACCTATTACAAGAAAAGGACTGGTGAGGTAGTTCAAGGTATAGGCCCTGAGTTCAAACCCCAGTACTGGAAAAAAAAAAAAGAATCAAAAATTGGTAGAAATCTTTAAGAAAGAAAAATTGATAGAACTAAAATAAGAACAGATAAATCCACAGAATTCAAGATTTTGTTACTCCTTTTAACTGGTAGAACAAGAAAACAAAAACTTTGTGAGAATATATACCTGATTTTGAAGAACTCCATATCTAACAACTGTGGAACACACATTCTTTTCAAATGTTCATGGATATTTATTGGTACAGACCATTATCAGTCTATAAACCAAATCTCAAGAAAAATGTAAAGAATTGGAGTTGTAGAGGGTATATCGGTGGAGAGCAGATTACGAGAAGCCTATGAGAACTGGACATAAGCAAGGTGAGATGTAGCTTGACAGCTTTTCCTAAGATGTTTATCTGTAGGCTGAGATTGGCACAGCCCCAGCCACAGAAGAGGAAAATGCAGAACAGCTGCTTCTCCTAAGTTGTTTATGTTCAGAGAAGCAGGAGTGATCAGGTTTCTCCTGTTACAATGTCATGCCCTTCCAAGAACCACTGCTCCACCCTGTTTACCACTGGGTATAAAAGACTCACTGAAGGAGGATGTGAGACTTTCTACTTTGGGCCTTTTGCTTTGGGGGCTTTTGCTTTGGGGCTTTTTGCTTTGGGAGCTTTGGGTTTGGAGGCTTTTGGCTTTTTGGATGAAGAGAGGCTTTTTGATATGGGAGGCTTTGGAAGGGAAAAGGATTGCTGAAGGCACAAGATTGCTGAAGAGAAAAGAATTGTTGGAGGAGAATTCTAAAGGGGAATTGCTAGCAAGCCTGAGGCTGAGATTTTAAGAAAGCTAAAGAGAGAACATGGGATAGGGCAAGCCTGGGGGCAAAGACTTTAAGAGAGATTATGCTAAAGAAAAGCTAAGAGAAATTGTGGGGGGAGTGAGTCTAAGGAAAGAGACTTTAAAGAATAGAAAAGAAGACTTTAAAAGCAAGGTTTCGCTTTATCATGTGATCAGAGTTCAATCCCTTGTAAGAGGATAGGTAAGACACCTAAAAAACTAGATAGCATTTGTTGCCCTCAACACAGAGAAACTAAAGCAGATATTTTAAAGCAACTGAGGCCAATAGGAGAAGGGGACCAGGAACTAGAGGAAAGGTTAGATCAGGAAGAATTTACCTAGAAGGTAACACACATGCCCAGGAAATCAATGTGAGTCAATACCCTGTATAGCTATCCTTATCTCAACCAGCAAAAACCCTTGTTCCTTCCTGTTATTGCTTATACTCTCTCTACAACAAAATTAGAAATAAGGGCAAAATAGTTTCTGCTGGGTATTGAGGGGGTGGGGGGGAGAGGGAGGGGATGGAGTGGGTGGTAAGGGAGGGGTTGGGGGCAGTGGGGAGAAATGAACCAAGCCTTGTATGCACATATGAATAATAAGTGAAAAAAAAAGACTTGTAAAGGAGTAAGGCCTTAAAGAATAAAGATAGAGAAAAAAAGTAGAGTAAATGAAGAGAATAATAGAGAAAAGAAGCAATGAGGGTTGTGCATCTTCACCTGAGTCCCAACACACCTGATCCCACTTGCTGTCTGTCTGTCTATCTTGTGTCTTTTCTGCATCTCAAGTTGCCCCCAGTTAGCCCCAGTTAGGTTCAGTAATAACCAGGAGTGAGAGAAAGCTTGCTCCAACAAGGGAGCGAGAGAAAAAGCTTGCTCCATATACCATGGAATTAAATTGGAACTCTACGAATTTTTCTATTTTCCATTTCATTTATTTTTGCTTTTCTTTTTCTTTATAGTTTCATTCCTTCTCATCTCTTTGGGTTCAATTGCTGTTCTCTTTTTTAACTTTTAAAGATAGAATATAAGATTGCTGATTTAGTATCTTCCTTTTTTCTTAAGTAAGTACTTAAAGTTACAGTTTTCTCCTAAGCACTACTTTTGCTACATCACACAAAGATAGATAGAGTGTTTTTGTTATTATTCATTTAAAGATGCTTTCTTCCTTTCTGATTTCTTTTTGGATCCATGGATTATTTAGAGGTGGCTGCTTAGCTTCCAAATGTTTTTGTGATTTTTCTAACTGACAATAAAAGTCAAAATAGTGGTTTCCTTGTAAGAGGAAGAAGCGATGGACTGGGATGGAGCAATTGATAGAAAAGAAACCAAAACGACTCTTCATGGAAATACTCTGTACTTTGATTGAAGTGGTTGCATTTTAGAAGATATAGGTGACCTTCCTAATATCTCAGTGCTGGGAAGGCACAGCACTGGGAGTTGAGCCAGGCTCTAGAGCCCTTGCTCTTTCCTCTTTGTCTCCATAAAGGAGACAAAGAAAGTGTTTTTTAACTTTTAGGACTTCAGTTTCAAAGGATTTTGTAAGAATTTTGTGGGGGTTATCTGAGGGGATCCTTCTGGTATTAATGGAGAGGATATCTTCTCATGCACATGGTCTATTTGTCTGTTTGTATGGCTATACACTGGAAGGGGATCATTTTCCCATTGGCATTTGTTATTTCTGAACACCTCTAGGACTGACTCTTAGGGAAGGATTTTGATAGCTTCCCAAATGGTTGAGGAGTGGACAGAGGGAAGAGTTCAACCTCAAGACCATCTGCTTACACAGGACACATGATGCTCAGCTGACGTGTTTCTTCCCTCAGGCATAAGCTTATGTCTTCCTTTGGTGTTTCATGTATTTTCAGCTAGAGACAGAGTCCTGGAAAGAATCTGAGAGAATGTATGTGTTCTTTTGAGGCTGTCAGGCTCAGACTAAGTGAGGGAGTTACTCCTTTGTTGGGGGAATCAGACCCAGTTATTTGCTTGTGCTGGGCAGGATGTTCACATAGTGAGCCTAGAGTGCTGTGGAGGCTAGAGGGTGCATTTTGCTCTGGGAACCATGCCAAACTCCTGGGTCTCACTAATCTCTGACATTGACCCCCCTTCTTTGCAGCGTGGAGGCTGCCAGCATTGGATTTGTCATCGTTATCGACAGACGGAGGGACAAGTGGAGCTCCATAAAAGCATCCTTGACACGAATTGCTGTAAATATTGAGTTTCATGCTATTATGATTAAAGTCATTTAAATTGTCTACTCAGCTATTTCACAGCAAAGTTCTGGGATAAAGGCAGTTATATATGTTGATTTTTGGGAGAGCCTTTGTAGCAAGTGCTGTTGCTTCCCATTCATGTCCTCTCTGCCACTTGACAGTCTCCTGTGGATTTCTGAGCATGCCAAAGGCTCTCTGACTTCTCTGGTCACTGGAGAGGGCCAGGCAGGGACAGCTGGGCAGTTCATACCCAGGGGTAACTTGCAACCGTTGAGTTATAGAAGTTAGTGGATGAATACCTCAGTGTCTCTGCTTCACAGTAAGGGAATTCTGTGGAGCATTGAACACAAAAGTTACACCGTTTCAGCACCTCTTGCTATAGCAATAATCCCTCACTTTTACCCCAGCTCTCTCTGCATTGTTATCCCCCCCACCATTTGTGCTTGTCAGGATCACCTCGCCCAACAAACTGCTTGTACCCAGGTACTTTTGTGTGTGGGGGGGGTGACATGATTTAAGACAGTCTTCATTTCAATATCCACATAATTTTTTCCACATTTACAAAGACTGTGGCAAAACTAGATTTGAAGGAAGTATGCTGGCACCTGGCATTAAGTCATACAACCTTGGATGGGCTTCCTTTTCTTTATTAGTTTGATTTTGATTCCCATTTCTTAGCTTTCAGCAAGCAGATGTATCCCTCCTCTGTCAAGACTTTGGACCTGTGAACTTGGCCACATGGTCAGGCAGGGACAACTCATGGCCAGCCTCACTAGCATTTTTAACCAAGCACAGACTTTGGGGGCACTTGGGACTGGCAGAGGGTGGGAATGAAATATGCAGAAGTGGGGGGGTGGGAGAGGGACCCTGAAGCCTGACACCCACTTACATAGCAGTCACATGTACAGAAGTGTACCCACAGAGGCCCTCTCAAACCACATTAGAGCCTCACCCAGGTACACAAATGTCTCAGTTAATTTGTCCTGCCACAACACCACAAAACAGGGATTTCTGTATAGAGCCTGCATTTCAAAGATAGGGAAGGGAGAACTCCCATCCCTCGGTGCATGGATTGCTTTGTCCATTAGTTATGGTGATAGGATTTACCTTTGAGATAACTACCACCATGGCTGATGCCTATAACTACTCCAGGGGTCTGGCCTCTAGAGAGTTCTGGTTTCCTGGGGACCATAGACAATACCTGAATAATCTAATACTTGAACCTAATTTGTCCCCGAATTACATTCATTGCTTTATGTGTAAAAGATACATCATGAAGGGACCTCAAAATCCACCTACCTATCTCCTCAAGTGCACATAGCAGGACTTCAGACTAGTCCTAAAGAATCAGAATAGTCTGGGTTAAAGACCAGCCTATTTTCTTTTAACAAGCACCTTAGGAGACAAGCGCCTAATGAAGAATGGAAAGTCACGGGCAAGAGGAGTCTTGGGTTCCTAACTCTGCCACTAAGGAGTTCTATGAATCTGGGCTATATATCTCATTGCTCAGGGCCTCACCTCAGGTGAGAATAACACTTTCTGAAGGGAACATGGCAATAACGTATATCTAGGACCCTTGAAATATAAATTCTTTTAAGGAAAGCTTCCAAAATATGAATAGGTTCATTTCAATGTTAATTATAATAGTAAAAATATCAGAAACCTAAATGATTTGCAAAAACAGGAATTGACTAAATAAATTGTGTACCCATAAAAGATTTCCAAAGAATTTTTTAATAGCAGGAAGAAAAGCTCATGGTATAATATTTAGTGAAAAGGCAGATTACAAAGCATATCTGTGGTATGAGTTTAACCATGAGAAAGGATTAAATAGAGAAAACAGACTATAATTAAAGAAATTGAAATATTAAATATGGCTATGAAATCATGGGTGGTTTTCTTTTTCTAATGTATACTTCTATTAATTTCTCAATTTTTCTATAAGTAGTGTGAATTATTTTTATGGTCAGGAATGTGTTTTTTACTTTTTTTATATTTTGTTTTATTTTTTTAATTCACCCTCCTACACCCTTTCTTTATTAGTTTACTTTTAAATGAGTCATTTGGACCACCTGATCTCTAAGATCTCTTTTGGCTCTGAAATCCTGTGACAGCTATTCTGATTCTTTGGCAACCATGGTGTCCCCTTGACTTTTTCTTCTATGATCTTGGGCAAGAGAAGACCAAAGTAGGTTTTGGTAATGAATGTGACATTTTCTCTCTCCCTGACACGTTTCACGATGTTGCAGGTAGCGTTTCCAGGAAACCTGCAGCTCATCTTCATCCTTCGTCCTTCTTGCTTTATCCAGAGGACATTCACTGACATTGGCATTAAATACTATCGAGATGAATTTAAAATGAAAGTGCCGGTAAGCATGACTTTTCTTCTTGTGTTAGGCTGTCTAGGGATGATATCATTTGAGCTGGGTTTCTAGGAAAAGTGGAATTTAGCAGGTGGAAAGTGAGAGGAGGGCATTCTGGGTTCAGGGAGCTGTCAATGTAAAGGAGTGGGAGCAGGAAGCTCCCTGGGAATCCTCATTTTTGTTTGAGTACTTAGAGGATAATCTTTTTTGAGGAAAAAAAAAGGTAGGATCCATGGAATAAGCCTTTAGTGTAAGGACAGGGGGTCTGGATTTTATTCAGTAGGCAGTGGGGACACCGAGAAGGTTTCCTGATAGAGAGGTGACATGACAAAATGATACAAGAGTTATATTAATCTGAGGGTGCTATCTAAGACTAGAGATTGAAGGAGGAAGATAAAGTGTACAGGTGAAAGAAAATACGGTTCTAAAATGTGAGGGTGCTATAACTATAATGAGTGAGAGTTTAAAACAATATTATGATACTCCTAAGAGAAAATTAAAATTAGAAGTTTCAAAATTTTACCTATCATTTACAAACAGATATGGAGAAACAAGTGCTCTCATACGTTTTTTGGTAGGAATAGAGTGGCAGTGCCAAGATGAAGGACTAATTGTCAGTACTTATAGAAAACTGGCATGTACACACTCTTTGATGTACATATAAAAGTTGTTCTACAGACACACATGTACACAAAGCTTCACAGACAATGACATTCATTACCAAGTTGTTTGTAATAGCGAAGTTTGGGAATAACTAAGTGCCTGACAACTGGTTAATTATGGTCTATCCAATCCATGAAATACTTTGCACCCAATGAAAGTAATTAGACATGGTACAGCCACATTTGGCAGTTTCTTATAAAGTAGCCATACTTCTAAACTATGACCCAATCAAGAAATGAAAACATATGTCCCAAGGGAACATGTACAAAAATGTCTATCCATACATGAATGAATAAAGAAACTGACGTGTATATATAATAGAGTAATTCAGCAGTGAAAAGAAATGAAGTACTGATACGCACATCGACATGGATGTGTGTCAAAAATACTCTCTTGAGAAAAAGAAACTAGACACTACAGAGCATGCTCTTTAGATTCCCTATGATAAAGTTCAAGAACAGGCCAAAATTAGCTGTGGTGATGGAAAATCAAAACGGTGGCTGCTGTTAGGAGTGAGGTGTGACAGAGGCTGATTGGAAGGAAGCACAACAGAACTTTCTGGGGAAGAATGCTTTATGCGGTGATTGAGTGGTGTGTATCATTTATCAGAACTAATTGAACTATGCTTTTAAAATCTATGTGTTTTAGTAATACTCTTAAAGTTCACACATCTTAGATTTTAATTTGAAAAATGAAAAACAGGGAAAATGAATAATTGCAGAATGACATAGAAGATTTTCTGAGGCCAAGGGTGTAGCTCAATGGCAGAGCTCTTGCTTAGATTGCACAGGGCCCTGAGTTCAATCCCTAGTACTTCAAAAAAAAAAGAAAAACTGTTTCTAATATGTATCTTTTAAATGTTTAATTGAAATACTTTCCTTCCTTCCTTCCTTCTTCTCATCTTTCTTTCCTCCTTCCTCCCTGCTGTTTTCTTTCTTTCTCTTTCTTTCTTTTCTCTTCTCTTTCTCTCTCTCTCTTTCTCCCTCCCTCTTCTCTTTCTTTCTTTCTTCCTCTTTTTTCCTTTCCTCCCTTCCTCCCCACCTTTTTCCTTCCTTCCTCTCTCTTTCTTTTCTTCCTTTTTTTTTTTTTTTGCAGTATTAGTATTTGAACTCAGGGCCTACACGTTGAGCCATTCCACCAGCCCTTTTTCATATTGGTTTTTTATTTATTTTTTTTTTGAGATAGGGTCTCATGAACTATTTGCCTGGACTGGCTTTGAACCATGATCCTCCTGATTGCTGCCTCCTAAGTAGCTAGGATTACAGGCCTGAGCCACCTGCGCTCAGTGATCTATCTCAATTTCTTTCTCTCTCTCTCTCTCTCTCAATTTCTCTCTCTGTCTCTCTCTCCTTCTCTCCTTTCTCTCTTACAGGATCCCATTAGGTAACGTAGGCTGGCCTGGAGCTCACTCTGTAGGCAGGTGGCCTTGAGCTCCTCCTGCCTCACCTCCCAAGTTCTGGTTTTGTTCTTCAACCCAGTAGTTGAAGAATTTCAATTTATAGAGAAGCTGTGAGAATAAGAGTAGGCTAAAGAACAACACAGGTTCACTAACATGTTGTTATCACTTTACTCCTATTTGATTATTATTATTTGTTTCTCTTTATATAAATTTTAGTATATATATATATATGTATACATGTATATATATAGCTCTATATATAATACACAAATGTTAATATCATAAAAGATAAAGAGAGCCTATGATATGTTTTAAATTAAGAGAGACAAGTAAATCCACTACTGAATCTAAACTGAATCCTTTCATATATTTTACATATACATACGCATATGTATGCATATTATGTATATATAATACATTATGTACGCACATATCTCTTTATGTATATTTAGAATAATAGATGTATATTTAGGCATTTTTTGTGTGTATTATTAGTTGACTTGTGCTGCTTTAAAAAAATACCATAGGCTGAGTAACTTCTGAAGAACAGAGGTTTATTTGTCATAGTTTGGGAGGCTGAGAAATTCAAGGGCAAAATGCTGGCAGGTTTGGTGTCTGTTGGGAGCCTGGTGCCTCCTTTCAAGATGATACCTTGTTGCTGTGTCCTCCAGAAAAGGCAACTGCTGTGTCCCCACACAGCAGAAGAATGAAAAAGCAAGGGGGCACATCCACTTCCTCCATTCCTTTTTTAAGGATGCTAATCCCATGCATGAAGGAGGAGCCCTCACGACCTCTCACCTCCCAGAGGTCCCGCCTTCCAGAACCATCACCTTGGTGATTAGGTTTTGCCATATGATTTTTTTGGAAGGGCACTGCAACATGTATTGTAATGTATATGTACATTTAGAGTAATTGTATGTATTTATATATACTGAATATGTATTACAATGTATGTGCATTTGCATATTTAGAATAAATAAATATACAAACAGATTGTACATATAAAATTTGGATTATATATGTATATGCATATGTGGTTACATGATCCAGCTAGGACTGGGCAGTGGAATGCTACCTAAATGTTGTTGCAGCCTTCTCAGGATATCACCTTCTGGTCCACAGTACACATCTACCTCTTGCTGGTGATGTCAATTCTTATCTCCAAGTCAAGGTATTGCCCTGTTTCCTAAATGAATTGTTTGCCTTGCAACTAACTACCACTTAATCTTTGAAGAGATACTTTAAGACCATGTAAATACCCTATCCCTTAGAAAATTCCTCTTAGATATTCATTGATGATTCTTGCCTGACACCATCTTTTTTTTTGGATAATATTGGGGTTTGAGGGCCTCACACTTGCTAGGCAGGCACTCTTCCACTTCAGCCACTCTTGCCAGCCCGTGAGACCATCTTAATATGCATTGCAAAATAATGATGTTCCAGCTCCAGCACTCTCACTTACTAATCAGGAGTTGATACTCCACTTTCTCCCCTGTTTATTCGCCTATTATGGATTGTCATTCCAGATTCTTTCTTTGAATAGTTTCTAATTCATTACTGTTCTTACTTATTTTGGTGCTCAAACTGTCCCAGATTTGGTCAGTGGGAACCTTGTAACCTGGCTCCTATGTCCTTGTGATTTTTTTTTTTTTTAGTACTTCCTTGCTTTCTGGCCTATTATGACCTAGACTTGTCTTGTACATTCCCTGATCTAGCATTGTAATCAGCTGCTTTTCTCTGTAGGTTCCTTTTGGTGTTGAATGGTGTCAGGTAAGGTCTGGCTGTAAATGTGCTCTTACAATCAGGGTGTCATTGCTGTTAGGCCTTTTCAGCAGACAGAAGCTGTTAACATAAGCACATATGTGCATCTACACACTTCCGAATTTGTAATAATATACACATACGTGTGTATGTACACATGTATATGCTCCCACAAATAGGTGTGTGTGTGTATGTGTTCTAGAATTCACAAGTTCACACCCAGTGCCTTAAATTTCAGTCCATTGAAGATACATTTTGAACTCAGGGCCTCACGTTTGCTAGGCAAGTGCTCTACTGCTTGAGCCACTCTGCCAGCCCAATCTAAGATATATTTTGAAGTGGGGATAAAAGCAAGGGGAGAGCAGTATGTACCCATCTGAATAAAGCAAGGGGGCATCTATATGCTTATGCGCAAGGTCACCTCAGAAATGACATGCAACATGCACAAGAAAATTATTATAGTGGTTGCTTCCTGGATGTAGAACTGGAAGCCTGGGGGTCAGAAGGGGAGATTTTTTTAACTTAAATATACTTTTTCTTTTTTCCTTTTTTTTTTTGTGGTACTGGGGCTTGAACTCAGGGCCTCACGCTTTCTAGGCAGGCCCTCTACCACTTGAGCCACTCCACCTGCCCTTAAATACTCTTATTCAATTTGAGTTTATTATTTTCTGCACATATTATCTATTCAAAAAAATCAAAACCAATTTTAATTAAAATTGCTTTGGAAGAATATTTAACCCATCTCAGTAAAGACTGGCATCTCAGACATGAGATTTTTCTCCTTTTTCTCCCTCTCCGTCTTCATCCTTATTTTCTCTCTTTTGATATCATTTTATATCAATGACAAAAATTTTTAAAAATATTTGTCCCATTCTATTTTAAATACTTGTTTTTAAAATACTTGAATGTTTAAGGGAGCTGTGAGCCATGAGTTTCTTAATCAGTTTTCCTGAATTAAGTAATAATAACTGATGTTGGGGAAGAAATGATGATTTAAAAACTGTTTTTTGGTGGTACTGGAGTATGAACTCAGGGCTTCACACTTGCTAGGCAGGTGCTCTACCACTTGAGCCACTCCACCAGCTCTTTTTTGTGATGGTTTGTTTTTTTTTGAGATCCAGTCTCAAAACTATTTGAGAACTATTTGCCCCAGGCTGGTTTTGAACAGCAATCCTCCTAATCT